TGAATGAACCAAAGTAGTACTTCTATGAGAAATACATTGTATTTTTCTAAGTTGATATTGCTTTGGTTCGATTTTTTATACTTGGGATACCCGGTCCAAAATCGAAGCATTTGCTTCTATGCTTAATTCCGTCGGAAGTGCCAAAATTCAGTCCATTTGGGCTGATATTAGCCATTTGGTGTACAATAAACATTATATCGGATAAAGATATTTATGAGAGCTATCCGATCCGATCTCGATAAAATTTGACAGAGGTATTTGTGCTCCATAAGTTGTCTGGAACCAAATATCATTCTCATGGAGTGCATATTAAAACCCCGAATCGGATGAAACATATATGTGGGAGATATATCTGAACTGATTTTCACCCAATTTGACGTACTTGCTTCTAGACTGAATTCGGTCGGATGTAACTGTTCAGGTCATTTGGACTGATACCTAAAGTAGTTAATCTGGGAAAACCGAATGTTTACTAACTTCTCTCACTATTATCGAGAATAAAATGTTTACTGGGTATCATTGCCTAGTATATTGCTATATATACATATATATTTATGTATCTATGAACGAAGTCATTTTTATGTATGAGTATATGTGTAATTACCATAAAGTGTTAATTTATGGATAGCTTTTTTGTTTTTGTTTCTTTTTACCAACCAACCACACAAACATAGTTGGTTTTACACAGCGATGCAATGCTGCACTAACACAAAAATCTTGTGGAACAGAAGAAAATAAAAATGTGTTGCCGCTTTTCCCTTCGATAAACTTATTTCTCTCTGTGGCAGTTGTCGTCATCGCATTGTTGTTGGTGTTGGTCTTTCGATTTGTTATTTAAACGCAGAAAAACAACTACTGGTTTTTGTCGATCTCATGGTTGTTGTTGGTGTTATTTCTTCTTTGCTTGATTTTTGTTTTGTTTTTTTGCCGTTGTTTACACCAACCATCTAGATTTTTTTTTTGGTTTCATATTATTTTTATTGTTGTTGTTGTCTTCTCTGAGCTCTGCCTATTTTTTCTTCATCGTTTTTAGTGTTCAAAATAAACACACTTATCTGTGTATACAATTAAATGGTCGAATAAACAAACGTAACGTTGGAACGTCGACGAGACAGTGAGACAATCTGACTCATGGGCGTTTGGACCTGCAACAGACCGACTCAGCGACGTTCGGCAAGAGTTTATAGTGGTATGGTAAAAAGCGAGCGAGAGTGCAAGTAGTTTTTTCCTTCCGATCTTTCAAAGTATAAAAAATGAGAAATCAAAACAAGTATCTCAAAATCGAAGAAATCCAATGTAAATTTTCTCAGCACAGTACTCATTTTTTTTAAGTATTGCCAAGGTGTTCGTTTATATCTGGGATATTCCTGCTTAAATCTGGGATTCAGTAGTGGATCGGTAGAAGCAAGCACATAAACGCGACATGTTTTTATACCCCACACCACAAGGTGGTCAGGGTATTATGTATTTGTGCACTTGTTTGTAACAGGCAAAAGGAAACGAGATAGACCCATAGTTCCTTTTGTTGATCTGTCACATTCTGAATCGATTTATGCGTGTCCGTCCGTCTGTCTGTCCATGTATTTTTGTAAACAAAGTACAGGTCGCATTTATTGTCCGATCTAGATGAAATTTTTCACAACTCATCGGTCAAATTTTAGATATATCTCCCAAACGTGAATTTTGCACATATGACCAAATTAGGCCTGAAAATAAGTATGCCAAATTTGATGGATATCGGTTCAAATATAGCTATAGCTCAAATACATATTGTACGTCCGATTTGTTATATTTGCATAATATGCAGTCTGTAACAACGCTATTTGGATAATATGTCCAATACAGCTCAGAAATACCTTTGCTAAATTTTATCGAGATCGGATCGGATTGGATATATACCCCATATATATTTTCCGAAATGGGTAATGCAAGCCCGAATCGAAAAAGTGCAAATGCCTCGCAAATTTAGTAGAAATCGATTGAGAAGAGGATATTCCTCTCATATACTAGTTCCTATGGAGTTTAAATTATAACTATAATCATAGTTCTCCCAAATTCCCCATAAAAGCTTTTACTTGTTTTTTGCTTTTTATTTGCTTGCAACGTGGTGTCGGGTATCATAAGGACGGCCAGAGATATTCTCCAATGAATTCATTTCAATTTCAAATATCTCGTGCAGAAAGAATTAAGAATTTCTAACTGAGGCTTTGCCTAACAATCTAATAGGCTTGTATTGTGAATTGATGTGAAATTGCTACGATTTGAATCTACGTCAATCAGACGACTCGAACAAAGCTTCAGATTTGGAGCAGACGACGACGTCCGATATTTGGTTAGCTTGGTTTTTATACCCAACACCACCATGTGAGGATATTATCACAAGTTTATTTTAACTCAGAAGTTTGTAACTCCTCGAAACATTAGTCCTAAGCCCATTATAAATTGCAATCAACCTATAGGCCACAATCAATTTAATGAATCGATTGATGCAATTGACATATTACACCCTCCAGAATATTTTCGCTATTATATTCGGCATTTATTCTGATGCCACGGTCGATTAATACGAGCGGAGAGCGACCATCGGCTGTTATGGCGGCCAACACCATAACCACGGCCGGCGCTTGAGTTCTGGTGGCCAACCGAAGGTGCACATTTTCAGATGACCTCATTGGCAAGTAAACACGATCATTTTGTTTGTTTACAAACTGCTGGAAAACGAAATTCAGCAGTTCACCACTTTCGGGCAAGCGAAGCAACTCTGTTGCGGTGTAAGTTCTTGCACTTTTTGGAATTTCCATAAGTTTACCCCGAGCTAATTTTTTAATCAAGTCGATTCTTTACTTTTCGAACCATTCCTGGTGATGTTGCTATTTTCTTCCGTACACTTTCTTGACGTCGGGCTACGCTAACAGTATCACAGTAACGAGCGATGGTACGACGCACAAAAGATTTATTCACATTTAAATGCTGGAGTGCTCTAACGATAGCCACTTGTGATTTCCAGCCAAATATAAAGCAGTCACACTATTACGCTTGAATTCCATCACTAATAAATGTTTTTCCGAAAAATTTGTACGTTTGTAAACAATATAAAAGCTGTCGGACTAGTGGCTTCGAAATTACAGCAGTCTGAAGTTGGTTGCAGCTTTTTCATCTCACCCTGTATGTATGTATGTATGGTCATCGAGTAGCTCATAAAATTTGAGTATATTTTGATCAACTGCTTATGAGAGATGGCTTTCGGGGGATATGTACCGAAAAAATGCCGCTATTAATGCAAATTTAATTGGCACACAACTATTGTCAAATCGTGCAAATATAGAGCAATTGTCGAAATATTTTCCATCAAATTGTGCTTCCGATTTTTTAGGAAAGTTCAGTGAGAAAGTTTATTGAATATCATTTTCAAGGATCAAGAAATACTAGTAGAATGAGAAAACAAGTTAAAAAGCAGTAAGTTCGGCCGGGCTGAACTTTTAATACCCTCCACCATTTGCAACGAATTTGGAAATTTTCAAAAAATAAAATCCTTAAAAAATTCTGTTAAAATTTTAAAAATACCGAATATAGCCGTTATTTTGGGGTCTATACGACGTGGACATACATAGGCATTGTTTGTCATAAGCCATTACCATATTCAAATTCGAAACTTGAAATAAACGGTGAATAATGTAGCTAAAATCATCAAAATACCGAATATAGGGAGGTACCGTTATATGGGGGCTATCCGAAGACCTGGACCCGCACAGACAATTTTCTGTCACAGACTGTAGTTCCCATAACGAACTTCAAATACCAATTTTAAAACAATTCCGGTGAATAATGTCGCTAAAATCATCAAAATACCGAATATAGGGAGGTACCGTTATATGGGGGCTATATAAGGACGTGGACCTGCACAGACAATTTTCTGTCTTAGGGTGTAGTATCCATTTTGAACTTCAAATACAAAATTTGAAACAATTCCCGTGAATAATGTCGCTAAAATCATCAAAATACCGAATATCGGGAGGTACCGTTATATGGGGGCTATACGAAGACGTGGACCTGCACGGATAATTTTCCGTCTTAGGGTGTAGTATCCATTTTGAACTTCAAATACCAAATTTGAAACAATTCCCGTGAATAATGTCGCTAAAATCATCAAAATACCGAATATAGGGAGGTACCGTTATATGGGGACTATATGGAAACGTGGACCTACATGGCCCATTTACGAACTTAACCTGCCTACTGGAAAAATAAACATGTGTGCAAAATTTTAGCCACCTATATCAATTCATTCGAAAGATAGCGTGATTACAACAGACAGACAGACGGACAGACAGACAGACGGACATCGCTAAATCGACTTAGAATTTTACGCTGATCAAGAATATATATACTTTGTTGGGTCTGATATGAGTATTTCGAGGAGTTACAAACGGAATGACAAAGTTAATATACCCTCCATAGTATGGTGGAGGGTATAAAAAGACGGGTAGATTGAAGTGAAATAGGAAATGGGATAATTAAATTCAGGTACTTATCTTGGCATATCACCAGAGAACTAACTGGCACTATTTTGATTGTCTTTGTATTTCCAACCGATTGGAACAAATTCTGCTCAGCTGAACTTTCTCCATGTTAATGTAGTTTTAGCAATGATTCCCTCCAAAATTTAAGTAAAGAAAAAGCTCATCCCAGTTTATTTACAATTGCTGATGCTTAACAACCCTATACATTGGGAGACCCGCAATCAACCATTATTTTGTTTTCCTTTTGTTGTTTGTTTCTGTGTAGCACTACACAAATACAAGAGATAGAAAGACCGCACGCACGCGAGTACATATGGGCCTTACATTTCTCTATACTCGCACCATAGCCACTACTGACACTCTTCTGCCATTCGGTCGGTTCGTCGCGTTCGCCTCAAATATACGCACACAGCTACACAGCCGACTGGTGTTGTTTTTGTTTGCTGGCCAACGAGTATAAAAGTCTCAGCACACAGCTGTTTGCCAGTTAGTTGCTTTGAAACACTGCTGATATTCATAGTGATTCGGAAAATATTGAAAGAAGGAAAAAAAAACTATCTTCTACTCTCCCTACTGAATTGATGAAAGTAGAGCCGATTTTACGTAGTGTTGTCACACAGATTTTGATGAGAATGTTTCTATAGAATTTTTGTTGATTATGAACTAAAGTGAAATCACTGAATATCAGAGAGCGTGTCCAATATACAAATAAAAAAACAACTCAAAGTTCAACTAGCCGATAGAACTAAACTGAAAAAATAGATACTATTTTTTGACAAGAATAATAAATTGTAGCAATAAAAATTAAATGAATAAAGTGGCCATTAATTAACTGTATATAATACAACAACTCGTGTGCATCTATAAAGTGCAAAAAATATATATCTAATATGATCAAATTAGAAGTTTAAAAAGAATAAACACAGTAGAAGTAATTACTGACAAGGAACTGCTGTAATCAAAGCTAAGCTTTGTGTGATAACTACGCGTGCGCGTATCTGTGATTGTGACTAACTAACTGTATAATATATCTATATATCTGTCCTGGATTCGACGTGACCGTCTCAACGTTCCACCATTTTTAACACCACCAATTTTACTATAAGTCATCACCGGAACCAAGAACATAAACAAAAAACTATGGAAGTGCTAACTGTGCAGAATCAATTTGCCGATCAGCATTACGGCGATATTACAGCCACTAGAATACGAAGTAAGTAGAACATGCACCACGACTGGGCAAAGGACCATCTTAGATTTTACTCCTCATATGTATATATTTGGTATTGGTTCCAATCAGTTGTTTGTTTCTTATTTATATGTACCTACGTGATGTTTTAAGAGCACGTGTTATCAGAAGTGTACAATTAAATTTGTTTATACATTGAAATAAAGACCTTGACATATTTTTTTAACGTTATAAGATTATTTTGTATGTGAACGTACCCCGCGACAAACAACAAATAATAATCAGCTCAAAATACATATTCTTAAAATTTTATGTTATTTATAACAAATTATTTATATTTTTATAATATTTCTAACATTACTATAAATATTTAAATATATATTTTGTAAAACAAAAGAGGAAATGCAGTTATAATTAAATCAATTAGAAATATCAAGTAAAAAATCTGTAAGTTCATCCGGGCCGATCTTATAATGCCCTCCACCATTTGGAACGATTTTGGCAATTTTCAAAAATATAAAATCCGTTAAAAATTCTGTAAAAATCTTAAAAATATCGAATGTAGCCGTTATATTAGGGTCTATACGACGACGTGGATCTGCATAGGCAACCTTTGTCATAAACCATTACAACATTCAAATGCGAAACTTGAAAAAAAAATCGGTCAATAATGAAGCTAAAATCATCAAAATACCGAATATCGGGAGGTACCGTTATATGGGGCTATACGATGACGTGGACCTGCACAGACAATTTTCTGTCTTAGGCTGTAGTATTTATTACGAACTTCAAATACCACATTTGAAACAATTCCGGTGAATAACGTCTCTAAAATTATCAAAATACCCAATATCGAGGAGAACCGTTATATGGGGTGTATACGAAAACGTAAACCTACATGGCTTACATTCTGTCTTAGGCTGTAGTATCCATTACGAACTTCAAATACCAAATTTGAAACATTTCCGGTGAATAGTGTCGGCTAAATCACCAAAATACCGAAAAAAGGGAGGTACTATTATATGGGGGCTATAACAGAACGTGGAGCTACATCACCCATTTTCAATACCAAAAGTCCTGCAGATATAATACACATTTGGGTAAAAATTCATCAACATACTTCATTTCGTTCGTAAGCTAGAGTGATTTTTACAGACGGATATCGCTAAATCGACATAGAATTTTTTTTTGCTGATCAAGAGTGTATATATGTATAGAGTGTATATATATACACTGTGGGGTCTAAAATGTATATTTCGAGGTGTTACAAACGTAATGACAAATATAGCCTCCGTACTATGGTGGAGGGTATAAAAAATTTTTGCGATTCACATTGGTTTGTTTGTCGTTTTCTTTAACTTCTTTAATTTTTTATCATTGCACTGCCCCCAGAAATGATAAAATGCTCGCCAACGGAAAAAACCGGTGAAGTATCGAATCTTTATTTTGAGATTTTGTTACAATGTTAGGCTATAACTAATATATTTTAAATCATATGAGTTAGTGCTCCCTTCCTGTAACAAAAAATCGGTAATAAATCCATCCACTTTAAAGGTTCAATTGTTTAATATCAAACTCATTAATCGCAACATTAATTTAGTAATGAAATTAACAAATTAAGTTCGCACAGAAGAAAATTTAAGTTTTTAAGAAACCACGTTGAAAAACATATCCATTTGAAATGTCCAAACAAATAATCAATCATAGTTTATTATAATCATTTTGAAATCTTTATAACTCGCAAAGTAGCTACCACATTATATATAAATGTAGATTGATTATATATATATAATTTTTTTCAAGTGGTAAACATCATTAGTTCAAAAATAGAAAACAAAATATGAATTAATTATACCCATTGCCTTATCGCCGAAAAAGAAAAACAAGTTTGACCTCCATTTTAAAAGATATTTGTATATCGGAAGTTTTGTTTTTCTCAGTGCGAAACCGTAAACATTTCTAGGCAACTTATGTTTATGGCCGATATATGAAGCATATCAGTGGTGACTTAACAATAACAACGCTTGAAATGAGAATATTGTTGTCGTTTTAAATTCAAAAATTTGTTATGTTTGACATCAACCCATAATTATAAATATAATATTCACACTCCAAGCTAGACCATTGGCTTATCTGTTAGAAGACGAACTTCACACCTCCATTAAAAAGTGGTATCTTCATAAATTATAATTTTTATTACACTTGTGTATGTGTGTATTCATGAACAAAATATTTTATTAAATTTATGAAAGAAAAAAGTGTTTCCCTCTCCTTTAAAGTGAGGAAGTTTGGGATTGATGGATCTACACAAAGATGTATTAATCTATTAAATTTAAATTTTACAAGAAATAAAAATAAAATAATTAATGATAAACTTTCATTCATTCAACATGAATTGTTCTTCGGTTTTTTCATTTTGGTTCTTAGCCCATATATCGCCATAAAATTGTTTTCCGAAATTATCAGTTTCAATTAATGAGCACATCTTCATTTTAAATTTCCTCGTTACTTAATTGTTTTTCTCTTATTTTTTATTTTTAGATTGGTCAAGATCTCTAAGCAATAACGCGCAGGAACAACAACAAAATCATCAGCATGAAACTCTACAAACAGAGGAGGAGCAATATGACTGTGATAGCGTAGATGCAGCTGCAGTGAATGAACTTTCGCAGCGCCTACTCACCGAATTACGCGCCGCCAAGACGCGTAACCTCACCTGCACCGAAGTTTCACTACCCACTGATCTCACCCAACGCATCGCCAGCGATATTGTGCGTGTATCGGAACGTGAACCATGTGGCATTCGTGGCTGCACCGTTTTCGTCGAATACGAGGAGGAGGCTAACAATCTCAAACGTATAGCAAAACTAAAATTGGACCCGGAAATGGTATCCACATTTGAGGTATATCTGACACTGCGCCAAGACAAAAGGGGCTGGACCGCTTTATTGCCGCAATTTATTAAGGGCCTGTCACGTACAATTACAATTAGTCCTGATTATAGCATTGTTAAACGTAAGTTGTATTCGCACGACAGCAATTGAGAGATTGTAAGACTGTCCTGAGACAGCCATAAAAAATATAAGCTGATCGAGAGAGAGAGAGAATAAGTGAGATTGAGAAGGAGCAATGTAAGATCTTATATACATTATTTGCCCATTGACAAATAGCTGCTGTATTGGGAGCATAAAGTATTGCAAAGATTGCAATGACAATTGATCCTGCAAATTCTGTATATATGGCGTGGCTCATTAAATGAGCGCCATCACACTATGGAAATACATTCGCAATTTTAATGTATTCAGGCGTTAAAAAGCTAAAAACAAATATAAAGTATTTTAAAATCATCATCCCACCTATACTCACCACTGTTGTAATCGTAGAAGCATAAATTCAACAAAAAATGTATATTTTATGTTTATGATTTTCTATTTATTTAAGAAAAAAACAAACAAAAGAGAAAAAGTAAAATATGAAAGAAAAAAAAATAACATGTTTTTACACAAAATTTTGTGTACGTGCCCATTGACCGACAGAACTACAAAACACATCTGTCAGAACGCCAACATATGGACGCTACGACAGACTAACTCATGGACTGACGTAATGTCAGCCACACAAAAACATTTTCTGAGGTGATTTCTGTTCTTTAATTGCCACAATTTTGTGTGGCATGCTCACACACACACATGCTTACCAATACATTCATGCGTACCCGGCAAGAGAAAACCCATAAGTTTTCTTAATCACTACCCCCAACCCCGCCCGCCATCGTATGGCCGACCCTCTGCACAAAGCACTGTGAGCATTAAAGAAACAGCAACAACAAAAATATGATTTCTTTCAGACAACAAGAACCCACGAAAAATGATGTAAAAGAAAAAGGGAATAAAGAAAAACTCATGAAAATTGTGATACTGATTAAGTTTTTTAGTAGTTAAGTACTAATTAACTAAAAGCAAACAAATTAATATAACAACAACAAACACATTTAAAACAAATATAGTATATGATATGAATGAAAGCTAATCGTAATAATTAAAACCACACTGCGTTGCTGGCAAATATGCAGAAAACAAAATTAAAACATCAAACTTTGTATTATTCGACCCATACCCCCGTTTAAATCCTCATGTCAAAAACAAAATTTGTGTTTTCATATCGATCTACAAAAAAACAAACGTTCGCCAAAATTATTTATCAAAAAAAAAAAAAAAAATTTCCAACATCAATGGAATGCTTATTGTTCTCATTAATCTTAAATTCATGAAAGTTAGTTAGGTTATTTTGCAATTCCTAAATTGGTATTTTTATCTTTGAGAGTGTGTAGTTTTATCAAGCCTAATTTTTTAATATTTAATATTCAAAACAAATAATAATTTTTAATGTATAACCTGTTATTTTTAAGTGTTTTTTAATTAATTTATAAAAAAAAACAAAAACAAACAAATAAAAGTTTGTAAAAAAGAAAAAAAAAATCAAAAAATAATAAATACAATGCGATTTTGTGGAGCAATAATCTGCAGAATATATTAAAAAGAAATATATACATGGTATTTTTATTTTCGTTGTGGGATTCATTGATGGTATGGTTTGCTCCTACAGCTTCCTTTTGGGGATTATATCCAAGGCTAAATTCGTTAGCAATGTTGATTGGTGGTTTTATACCCTACACCGCATAGTGGTAAGGATATTATGTCTTTGTGCATATGTTCGTGACATCGAGAAAAAAGCGAGATAGACAAATGGTTTATTAACGGATTGAGATGAAATTTTCCAAAAAACCTTTGTTTGGCCCAAAGACGAACCCTAATTAATTGGAGAGAATCAGTTCAAAATTAGATATAGCTCCCATATTAATCTCGAACCGATTTCGGGTTCATTTTGCACCAAACGGCTAGTTTTAGACCCTCCGACTGAAGCAAGTACATCAAATCGGTTCATATATAGCTGTAGCTCCCATATATATGTTTCATCCGGTTTAAACTCCTCGAGATTCACATTTGGTACCAGATAACTTATGGAGCTCAAAAATACCTCTGTCAATTATTTTTTAGATCGGTTCAGATTTTGATTTATTATATTATATATCTTTATCCGTTTGCAGGTTTATTGTGCACCAAATGACTAATATCAGCCCAAATGAACTGAATTTTAGCACTTCCGACGGGATTCAAATTTTATCGAGATCGGTTTAGATTATTATATACCTTCGATATACAGGGTGACAAAAAAACTGCAACAAAGTCAAACGCCATCATTTTTACATTTTTTTTTTAATTTTATTGAATGAAAGATAAAATGTCGGAAGAAGCATTATGTTTTCGAATAAGTTTAGATTTGTTCGAATTGGTTACCTCTGGCACGAATTATGGCCTTCAAACGGCCAATGAAACCGTCACACGCTGCCCGAATGTCGCTCTGCGGTATTTTTGCCCATTCCCGGCGAAGCGCTATTTAAGGTGATCGACACCAAAATACCAAAATACTCCAGATACAATAGTCCAGCGAATTTGTATCCGGAAATTTTGGTGGCCATTGTCCACCGGAAATGAAGCGAGGAACTTCTTTAGTAACCACTCTTGGGTGGTCGTGCTGAGTGTGATGGTGCTGAGTCCTGTTGGAATGTCTAAGGTCTGCTGCCAAAATGTTTGGGTGCCTAAGGCTTTAATACACCATCCAGAATATTTTCGCGATTATATTCGGCATTTATTCTAATACGAGCGGAGATCAACCATCGGCTGTTATAGCGGCCCACACCATCACCATGGCCGGCGCTTGAGTTCTGATGGCCAACCGAAGGTGCACATTTTCAGCTGACCTCTTTGGCAAGTAAACACGATAATTTTGTTTGTTTACGAACTGCTGGACGACGAATGTTCTTTAATCGGAGAAAACCAAATTCGGCAGTTCACCATTTTCGGCCAAGCGAAGCTACTCTTCAGCTCTTTTGGGTCTATTTTCTTTCTGTTGCGGGGTAAGTTCTTGCACTTTTTGGAATTTCAATGGCTTTACCCCGGGCTCATTTTTCCATATTTGTCGAATGGAATATTGCGATATGTTCAGCTCACGAGTCATTTTTCGGCCACTGCTTTATCCAAAGCCAAATCGATCCGGTGTGATGAAATATTTTTGTCGCCCCATTCCACACCAGTTCAACCACAGTGTAAACCGACAGAGTCATTTTAAGACCATATGCCCAAAAGGACACACAAATATTTGCGCTAAGAAATCAAAGGAAGACACGTGCAGAAAGTCAATAGACACAGCATTTCTTTGACATCGTTAATAAGTGAGAGACTTCGCCACGATACTTTATCCTTCTCATAATTATTTATGAAAGTACGAATGCCATCAGCAATCTTAATACAAACCAGGCACATGGTCAACATTGAGTAATTTCGATGTCACACACCTATGTACAATATTTCCATCTAGAAATGTTATTTCGTTTGCCACTGTAATATTTGGCAAATTTGACGGGTAGGAGGAGGACGAAACATGATAAAATGGTGGTCTGAATATCCGCACGAAAAATGTATGTATTTTGGTAGATGCATAAATTTTCGGTATTATTTTGATGTTTTTCTGTTCTTAATTCTTAAAAACATAAGAGGGCCTAATGGTAGTGTTGCCATGTCTCTTAAAAGGTTTGAAGAGAATTTGAAAAAAGCATATTGTGCAGTTACTGTAAGTATTATAATGAGGAAATTTGTCCAGAATGTGGTTTCTTAAAAATTCTAAAATATCAAAGGAACCAATTTAATAATGGAAACTAAAATATGAAAGGAATTAATAATAATAGAACAATTGTCAATCATATGGAAAAAAGTTGGTAAAATAAAATCAAATAAAATGGAGATTATTTTTTTTTAGTTTTGCCTTGTTAAGGCCAAGATCATATATTTATGATTTATGTATTTGTTTCTCTTTCGACACGAGCTTAATGATCTGAAATTTGCAATGAAAAGGAAAGACAGATAGACACTATCACACACTCACCACTATGCGACGCGTTTCGCCGATGGTTAAGAGGCTTATCGGGCATATTTGGTGTGGATGATGGCTTACAAGTGCCGATCTGTGGAAAGTAGTATTTATTTCGAATTTTTTGCGATTTAGCATATGCGAATTAAACACTATAAACTCTCCAAGTTCGACTCAAATTCTGTTAGCAGATCTTATTCACAGCAAAGCTTGTTCTTGTAGTGATGGATTTTTTGTCAACAACTACTTTGCTTCCTTTAGGAAGACGGGTTAATGGCTCTGAACGGTGAGACGGCAACTTCTAGTTGGCTGTACACCGAGGTCCGCGGTTCAAATCCCACAGCCAGGCTCGGCTAAATTTTATTTTTTTTTTTTTTTTGAGTTTTGCTTGTTAAGTCCAAGATCATATGTTTATGATTTATGCTTAATAATCTGAAATTTGCAGTGAAAAGGAAAGCAGATTGGTCGGATCGTACGCTCCACCCTGGTATACTTCAATGTCACAATCTCAAAAAAAAAAAAAAAAAAATGTACCTAAATATGTTGCTAGAACTATCTCTACACTTAAAATTGTAGGATACCGTTTATGAAGCTTGTGTCAGAAAGCAGATCTATGTTGAAAATACATCCAAATTTTGTTTAATTTGGTTGAATGTTCAATGCGGCATATTGGGGAAAACTTCTATTGAGAGTTACACCAAAAAATAAATATTTTCTGTTATATGATATTTTCTAAATCTCAAATTCAGCTCCTAGGCGGAGCCGCTACATTGGGATGATGTCAAAATTAGGGATATCAATCATTCTCTTTCGTTCATATAGTTTTTTTTCAGTTCAGACGTTCCTTCTACTTTTACAGGTTGCGAAATCTAAAATTTTTAATACCATAGTATGGAGAGTATATTAAGTTCGCTATTCCGTTTGTAACACCACGAAGTACTCGTTTTATTCTTCCTTAACTGATATATATTTGATTTGTTCGAATTGGTCATCTTTGGCACGAATTCTGGCCTTCAAACGGCCAATGAAACCGTCACACGGACAAAATGTTTGCGTACCCAAGGCTTTAATACACCCTCCAGAATATTTTCGCGACAATATTCGTCATTTATTCTGATGCCGATTAATACGAGCGACTATCGGCTGTTATGGCGGCCCATCACCATGGCTGGTGCTTGAATTCTGGTGGCCAATCGAGGGTGCACGTCTTCACCTGACCTCTTTGGCAAGTAAACACGATCATTTTGTTTGTTTACAAACTGCTGGACAACGAATGTTTTCTCATCGGAGAAAACCAAATTCTGCAGTTCACCACTTTCGGCCAAGCGAAGCAACCAGTTAGGTCTTTTGAGTATATTTTCTTCCTGTTGCGGTGTAAGTTCTTGCGCTTTTTGGAATTTTAATGGCTTTACCCCGAGCTCATCTTTCAATAATTGCCGAATGGAATATTGCAATATATTCAGCTTATGAGCCATTTTTCGGCCACTGCGACGCTGGTTTCGATCAAGTCGCTTCTTTACTTTTCGACCCATTTCTGCGGATGGTGCTGTTTTCTTCCGTCCACTTCCTTGACGTCGAGCTACGCTGCCGGTATCACGGTAACGAGCGATGATACGAGACACGAAAGATTTATTCACATTTAAATGTTGGAGTGCTCTAACGATAGCCACTTGTGATTTTCCAGCCACATATAAAGAAATCACACTATCACGATTGAAATTACACTATCACGAATAACTTTTTTTCTGGAAAATTCTCACAAAAATTCTTTGTAAGCTTGTTTTAACAGCTGCCGGACGAGTGGCTTAGAAATGACAGCAGTTTCAGACTAGTTGCAGTTTTTTCATCTCACCCTATATATGAGGGCTACAGCTAGCAGTACCTAAACCGAAAAAGACTTGCGTCTAGGCTGAATTCGGTGGTATGTGCAAAAATCTATTTGATGAAAAATTCCGGTACTTCGCCACAAATGATCTATCTGCTTAGTCCAATTTTGACATGCCCTTTCCAACATTTCGGCCGGTATCTCACGAATAAAAGCCTCAATGTTGCCTTCAATAGAGCACCCAAAAAATACCCTAATGGCGTTGGATCATACGCTGTTTTACAAGTTCGTTTGTAAAACGATTCATGATTAAATTATGGACCAAAATGAAGATGTTTGACATTAAAAAAAACACGAAGTGTGCGTGAGCTGATTAAACCAGTGGTGCCAAGAAGATAATAGCTAAAATCATCTTTATGTGATGCTATTCAGACCACCAAAATAATCTGTACAACTATCTCATATACAAAGTCTTATGGAATTCAGTTGCGAGGCCAGGACGAGTGTTTTCTCAGAGACACAATCATACCGTCATCTCCAACATCAAGGAGAGATACCTGGAATTCTCGGCATGTATGTGCTTTTTGACACCAGACATATCTGGACTCCTATGCATGCATGTCCTTTTTTGATAACAGTACCTACTTCTACTTATTTGAAGAATGTTAAGAGGAACTTGCTGTGGCGTAATCAAAAATGAGTTCTCATTGAACATAAATTGGGCTCAAAAT